AAAATAAATGTTTATTTATCCACGTAACAATGGGTTTGTGGTTGCATCGCTATTGCAGAAAGATTTTTCTGTAATTAGGCATTCAAATAAATTCATGGAGAACCGAATAGTTGATGTATCTTGTTCATAATTTTAGACCGATCAAGAATATATTGCCATTCTCTTTTCCCATTCATTATTCGCACTTGAATCCGACAAATGCCGATTTTCGATAATTTTTTTCCAAGAGTAGTATTATGCAACGGTTTTTTATTATTAGTTTTACACCAAATAAGATACTCGTGATACAATTTTGCGCAATTTGATCTGGAAACATTCTCAGACTATGGCGAAATGTATCCAACTATAAATTGAATGTAATTGGGATAGACTGGAGACAATTTCTGGTAAATATCGTTCGTTTCTTCATCAGCTGTATAGTATTCTTCATCAGAGCTTAGTTGCGAAAGCATACTTGTGGAGCGAGTCTCACTGCGCTTGATGTCTTATTTTTTATGCCTTCAATTATCACGTGCGCAGTGGTTACACAGAAGCGATGTCAAAATATGCGGACATGTTTGTCACCGTGAAAAGATTCTGTCTTTATGAAAAATATTTCATGGTGGCGTTTCATGGTGACGGTTTTAAGGTCTTTTAAGGTCTTTTTCGGTGAATTTTCGGTAAATTTTAGGCGATTTAAGCCAATATGCTTCTTTCTTAGTTATTTTTTTCATTTGTCACCGTGACACTATCAAAAAGTCAATTTCTAAGAAAAAAATTTAACATTGTTCTCACAAATAATATATTTCGAAGCGGTACACAGAGATAAATTTCATTTTGAATTATTTTCTCTCGAATAATATATTAGCAAAGCAAAAGCAAATGGATACCCAAAACACTAACGCGTACGGAGCGGTACCGCACCGCAAGACATTACTGCTTCTTGTGTAACCTCTGAGCTCGAGCGAGACTGTATAGCAGAAAATAGCAGTGATTGCGGTGATTGCGCCTTTTACCACCGTACGGCCCCAGAAGGCACACAGACAGACAAACTATTTCGATATTCCGGTGAAGACTATTTAACAAGCATTCCTACTCGCAACGATATAGTTAGAGAAAATGAGAATGGATCGACTTCAATTCTTGAACGAGCCTTAGCTAACGGGGAAAATATACCTTTCATGCCTACCGATATAGAAGAATCCAACGAATATATCAATGGAACCCCCTATTATATCTTACGTTTATATGGCCCACTTATCAACGGTCAGAAAGCGGTGGTAACTATTACAGGCATTAAAGTTTTCTTTGATGTCCGAATTCCTGACAATAAAGATATATATCCGTTTGAAGGCAAAATAAAAAGTATTCTTGCCAATGAAAAAGACGACAAGGAGAAAACTGTAGATGTGGGTAAAATCAGAATAGAGCATATAAAAGCATTCCCAATTCGTGGTTATCATACAGAAAAAAAGTCGTATCTACGAATTTATACGACAAACACTTTCCAAAGAAAGATAGCTTTTAATATCATCCAAAAGCATAATACTATCCAAGTAAATGAGCTTCTCCCAACAACTTAACATGTTGCTCCTTTCCATCAGCAAATTTCAACACAACGTAATCGAATGAGTCAGAGCAAAGAACGTAAATGAAATTTGGTTTAATGTTTTTTGGCATGCTTCTAGACTGTCGAATATCAACTATTGCCCACTCTTTTGCAATTTCGAGGATTGTACTGTATCGACCGTCATCATAGAACCTATTCTCATGTTCTTTCATGCGTTCTCCATCTCGTAAAAGTTCAATAGCCCAGTTACGATTGTCATCGACATAAAAATCCAAGTATCCGTCTGACCCGAAAATCACACCAACGTCTACTGAAGCATAGATATCAGCAGGAAGAATTTGCATTGCTGCCCGATAGAACTCCATTTGCCAAACACGCTCGAGGAGTCGGCCGTCTTTTCCTACACCTAAGTTCATCTGCAATGTCTTTGAGTTCATCGCACCAAAGACCAAAATAATGAACTCTTTAAATGTTTTAGGTCCGACTTCAGGTCGAGGTCCTGCACCAAGGCGGTCCTGAAGGTAAATGGCACGAAGCAATGGCGCCGGAAAATCAAGAGTTGTAAGACCATCCATTTCAGCAGAACTAATGTCAGTAAGGACATTTGTCTTAAGTAGTCGTCCATAGCACGGGATTACGTCAGAGCGAAGTGTGATACCTCCTTTGAAAAGAACACTATCCGCTAGTTGCTTTTCATCATCAGTCATGCTATTAAGCTGTGGTGCTGCACGGAGGCGCTGAAACAAATACACAATTAATAATGAATCGCAGGACATCATTTCTGGTAAACACCGTATTTTTTTTTACCTTAAGGCCCGCTTGGAAATCGTAAGACTTGATGTAAGTGAAGACTTTCACGAAAGTCAAAGTTTCAGGACTGTGCTTGAGGAACCTTTCATAAATTCTATCCATCACAAAAGCCACGAGACCAGGGTGGCGAGCTGTTGCTTTGTGTACATAGCGTGAGAGCCACTGAGTGTCCTCCTCTGAAGACATTTTGAGTTTG